ACCCCCCCCCCCACACACACACACATTTAACACAGCACCACCCAAGAGACAAGAGATACAACAAACTGTCACTGGACGGCCCACAGGTGGTCGGTCCCATGGAATGTCGTCGTGTGTAGGGGAGGTGGGTCGGTCCGCCGGTCAACATTCTCTCTGCTGTCCAGCGGCGAAACGACCAAACTGACTGGTATGACGAAAGTCCCGGCTTGCGAGCGTGTTTATTGTAGCTGTAGTGAAAGCACAGGTAACCAGCGGCGTGGTCCAGTCCTTCCTATTAATTTTTATAGGACATGATGCACATTGTGTCCATTCTATTCTAGAACTTGGCTTCACTCCAAGTGGGTTTTGTTTTGTTTTATTGTGGGTTTTTTTTCTTTCTTTTCTCTTTTCTTACATTTGTTTTTCGTTTTAATTTTGGTTGTCTTTTTGTTTGTCTTTTTTATTTCTTTAATTGTTTCTTGTTTTTTTGTATTGCTTCGTTTGTTTTATTCATTTATTTTTGTTCATTTGCTGTTGTTTTTTAAATTCTATTTTTTATTTTTCTTTAAACACCGTTTATTTATTTATTTCTTAGTTTTTATTCCAGTGGGTAGTAATTTTAGACATATTTTTTTTCGAAATATTCTTTTTTAGGGGATGGGGCTGTTAAATTTGGATGTTTTGTTATCTTAAAATGTGTCGCTGTAAAAGACGTCTCGCTGTGTTCTCCAAGTTGTCGGACACTGAATGACCCAGAGCCTCTTTAGTTTAACAGTAAATGTAGGTGCCCACTGGTCAAGTATAGACCCCCCGATCTGCATGATCAGATTCTGATCTGATTGGCTCAGCTTGTTTAATTCTGGCGCATGTGTGCACTTTGATTCTAATCCTAATTCTAATCAAAGTGGCCTCTGCTTTGCTTCACCAGGTTTGACCCAGAAGTCCACTAAGCCTTCTATCGCATTACGTGCTCTCAAATGATTTAACTGTATAGTGTGTATTTGCTCGGTTAGCCTTTATAGACATTTTGTCAAACAGCCCGCCTCCTAGAAGATGTAAATTGTGTCGATGGGAACATGAAACATTTACAAATCGCCTAATGTCCGATGCATGAGTATTCGAGAATTCTTTTCTCATGTCCGCCTTTCATCCTATACTGAATTGAAAATTTAACGAAACGTGTTTGGTGCTCTGCTGTGATTGAACTCCTACTTTCCTATCTAACATTTATCGTCTTGATCTCTCCTCCTTCTATTTCGAGTTTGTTACTCTCTACTCTCTTGCAACGCTTTTGATCTTCGGCCCTTGTATGACCTTATTGTGTTGCAAGTGCCGTTAAACTCCGAATAAAACCAAATTTAAAAGACAAACGTGCTGAAATACCCTGATGTAACTTTACACAAGTGTATATCAATGCTCATAAGTTAGCTTGATAATAGCTTGCCGGTTTGGGGAGGAAGGGGGGGGGGAGTTGTCGGTGTCTGACTCACCCACAAATTGATGACGCAAAGATGTAGGAACTCACCGAATAAGAAAACGGATATGTCGCTGAGACGGGAAGGAAGTTTGCGAATGCTGATTGGTGACATCGCGCGACTTGCTGGGCCCGGAGCTAGGCGCTCGAGAAGTAGTACACGAAAGTTTAGTGTCTGCCCGGAGGGATTTCGTACTCGCCTCGTGTGAAGTGGGTGGGCGGGGAGACCCCACTTGAGTCTCCCCATTCATTCATGATTAACTCGAGACTTGCCAGTCGAAAGACTATTTCCTCTTTTGTAGTCGCAACAAACAAATTATTATTTTGAAATATAATGTATAATCTGTGTGGGTGGTTGTCAGGTGATGAGGTGTAGTTTGGTCCTTCTTTCCTATCAAACATATATACGATCCTTTTCTCCCTTCCGCCTTGTGTTTGTTACTCTCTTGTAACGCCTCTAATATTCGGTTCTTATATGACATGTTGTCTTGCAAGTGCTGTAAAACTCGTACTTAAACTAAATATAATGTGTACGTTAGCATTTCCAGCATCCAAAAAGATCTCAAACTGCAAGTAGCGGGTGGTTGGCGGGTGGCGCTGGTAGGTCCTACTTCTTCACTTTCCCGCTGTTGTTTCTGTCTGTCTATATGATTATGTCTGTCTGGCTTTTTCTAAGCACTAAATGACCGTTACTATGTAGATATGTTTCTCTTTACTCAAACAAATAGAGAAAAAAAATCAAGCAGGAGGCTTTAGGTCGCCACTGACAAGTCTTGCTTCTTCACATTCCCTCTGTTGTTTCTGTCTATCTGTCTTACTTTTTCCTCAGTTGTTGTGTCGATATGCTTCTTTTTACTCAAACAGGCAAACAAATAAAGGGAACAAAGAGAAATAAGCGTCTTTCATCAACCTTATTTGATTATGCGATTGTGAAGATCTTACTTTTGTGGGTAGCTCAGTCTTTCTGCTGCGATATAATTATCCTTCTCAGCCTGGTTTGGTCTTGACAGGCAAAGTCGAAAGCTCGCCTCCTAAATAATAAGCTAAGTTGTGTTGATAGCGGCGTAAAACCACCTACATTTAAAGACGAAGCCTGAAGTGTGTGTGTATGTGTGTGTGTATGTGTGTGTGTGTGTGTGTGTGTGTGTGTGTGTGTGTGTGTGTGTGTGTGT